GTTGCATTGGTAGCAGATGCTGGAGGCTTCCTCGTGCATCACCTCTCCATCCCTGGCGTCCTGGGTGGGATGGGGCCCCTCTCTCTGCCCTGGCTCATTCTCCCGTCCCTATTGCAAAGCGGCTGGGGGGCGTACCCAGCCCAGCGCATCAGCCAGAGCAGGACGTGGTCCTGTGCCAGGCTCCTGCCCTCTTTTCGGGATACACTGTGCGAAGGATGGGGGGGAGGGAGGGCTTGCCAGGTGGGTGCACTGACCTCACAGGAGTCCCATAAATGAGCATGGCTCATAAATTTTGCTTTTCAAATAATCCTGCTCCGGAGACAGGGCGAGACATCTTGATTTAGACCTGCCTGAAATTTGCTGAGCCAGTTTGCTCTCCCGTGCTTTCATTTTGCTTGTTTCCTTCTCTCTCTCTGTATATATATTCTCACACATATATACACACGCGCACAGACACACGCACCCCTGCCCTCTCTGCCTGTATACCTGTTATTTTGATGCTAGCGTACCGTAGCATTCATGTCTGTGTGCTTTCCCAGGCCATTCATTGTGCTGCCTCCCCTGATGGAGTGGATACGGGTTGCTGTGGCTCACGCAGGGCACCGTCGCAGTTTCTCGGTGGACAGCGATGACGTACGGCAGGCAGCGAGGCTCTTACTGCCGGGAGTTGACTGCGAACCTCGACAGTTAAAGTAAGTCCACAAAAAAAAAAAAAAAAAAAAAAAAAAATCAGCTGCTTTGTGCAAAATGTGTCTCTCTTTCCTAGTGACAGTGAGTGAGCAGGCAGGCAGAGGGCTCTGTTATTGCCTTGAGAGGTGCATGGATGCTTGGGCTCGTCGCTGCGTGCGTTGCAAAATCGGCTCCTGGTATTTGCTCACATCCGTGGATAAGCCGGTTGCATGGTAATGGGTGCCTGAATATCTCACAGCTGGATCGAGCCCGTAATCTGCTCGTCAGAGCTCAAATGGTGGTGTTTTGTTTTTTTTTTTTCCTCTTACTATTAGGTTCTGCTTGCTAATGAGGGGCTGAAATCTTCTACTAATTGTCTGCTTCATGTTGCTTTGCTATAAAATACCGAGATATAATTGGCAGGGCTGCAGATATTTTTCAGTGCTTTGTTTTCAGTATTAATGCTTAAAGGGCACATCTAAACTTATAGGTAGGACTACTTCTTGCAGTAAAATTGTATTTTTCATGCTAATGTCAGTTCAAATTTGTTGTAAATGTCAGCCCAGATAATTTGACTTTTTCTTATATGAGATGTAACCTTTTGGTTTTCTAATGAAGTCTTAAGGTATTTATTGCCAGGATATGTTTTTAGTGTCTGTTTTGCCTTATTATTATGTATGTGTATAAAAGCATGATCTAGGGCTGTTCTGGAGTCAAGGATATATTTGCGTTTGATTTTCATATGAAAAGGCATTCTGAATCTGCCAAAGTAGAAATTACTCACTTCTACTGCTTCACAAATTTGTACGTAAACCCCAATTTTCAGCAGTTTACCTCTTCATACAGCAGTAGGTGCATTCTTTCCTGAAAGACAGAAAGCAGAGGGATGATGTACATGATTAGCTGGGACAACTTGCATCGGAGCAGCTGCCTTCTGTTGACTCTGGCCTTGACATGCTCTTTTACCAGAGAGTGTAATACTTTACTTCGAGATCTGCATAGGCTTTTTATAGTCGCAGCTATTCAATACTTGACTGAAGAAATATGTTGCATTTCAAAAGCGACATCTTGAGCATTTCAGATTTCAAGTCTCGGCTGTAATTGCTTCCCTTTGGTGTGACCATCTTGGCCCTCGTTTCCAGAAGTGCAGCGTTCTGCGTCCCTTCTCAAATGTCAGGATCTATAGGTACTATTACTTTCTGAAGACCTAGCACTTGGTTTTGAAAAGGCACAATTAATTTAATACTTGTTCCAGTATTTAGGTAGGATTGAAAATAAGTATTGCAAATAAGGCAATGTTTCTACTCTACGTCCTCTGTCTTAAAAATGAAGGTAGATAGAGTTAAGTATTTGCAGATTAAAAAAGCCCACACTATACCATTCTTAAATTTACATTTTGTCAGTGTGTATATGCTATCAACTGTTAGACAGTTTTCCAGGAGTTTCAAAATAACTTGAAGGTGGGGTGAGTTGTATTACGCTGCATAAGGATGTATTAATTATGAGGGAAAAGTCAGCAAAATTTAAAGTTGCCATCAAGAATTCATTTCATAAAGAATATATGTGGTAGCTGTTTTCCTGCTCGCCTTGCAAGGGAGAGTGAGCCTGAAGAGCGCAGCCTGGGATTAATCAGGTGGGAATGAAAAGAGAAATAATCCTGAGACAAATTCTGGATTTTAGAGATACCAGACTTTGCAATGTGCCCTTACTTGACTGCAGGGGCCCGATTCACTCCCTGATATCCCAAAATGAAGATCTCGCTCTACTGTGCTGGCAGAGGTCTACAAATGAGTGTCCATGTACTTAGGGTTTTATTTTAAGGTCTGCGCTTACTGCTGGCGTAGTGCAGCAGGTTCTTTGCATAGCTGCAAATCAGGCCCCCTCTGCCTGTAATCCTGAGATCAAAGGAAAGACTGAGCTTTTCTGAAGAATAATGTGAAGCATCAGGATGTTAATTTGAAACCTTGCAGCTTGTAATTTTTTGTTTGTATTCAGTGCAGACCCTCAGCACTTCTCATTTTCCACTAAGCTAAGCACCAACCTTTCATGCCTCTCCATTAGGGAGGGAGCATTTCCAACTATCCACTCCTCAGCAAGCATCAATTCTGTAAATGCGAACACTGGGGCGGGGATGGGACGGGACATGCGACAACTTTGCAGGGGATGGCTTTTCAAATAAGCTGTGTGACGGATGACAGCTGGAGGATTTTAAATGCAGTCAGCTTGATACATTCTGTGACTTTTATAGAAGTGGCTTAATAAGTAGAACCTTGAAACTGGTTCAATTTCTAGGCTTTTCTTAGCAGTCTTGTTTAGTCCCTAAAATATAGAGACCCGAACCCAAAAGTTCCCATGGTCCCATGTGATATTGCATCATTCCACGGTGTTGATTCATGACCTGTCATTGCAAATGCATAAAGCAAAATCAGCTTTCACGTTGGAAAAACACGCATATGGGGAGAGAGGGAGACAGGGAGATTGGCAGGATCTCAAAAGCTATGAAGTTCAGGATCAGCTTGGATAAAAACCAAATGTTCAGTTTGTTATCTGAACTACAGCATGGAGGTTTCCCAGCAGATTTCTGTGACGCTTCCCAGCACAATCACATAGTCCAGCAGTGAGCTTCCTAATGTGTGGCTTTAATTTCTCCCCTCTTCTGATCTTTTTTTTAAAAACCCTTTGCCTTAATTTCTTGCCATATTTCCGTCTCCTAAAAGAGGAGCTGCTCTTGCTCTGGGTAGAGGAGAGAGGGAAGCTGGAATCAGGCAGGAGCTGCCTGTCTCCTTCCTAACCTCTCTTCATTTTACAGCAGCAGACATGCCAGAAGGTTTCTTCCCTTTCCCCAGCCTTGGGAGATGAGCAGGGATATAAATGTTCCCCTTCCCCCAGGAGTGGAAGCTTTAAATAGAGTAGTTGTCTCCACCTTTTGCAAGGAGGTAGGTTTCACAGATGGATTGACTGCTGGATGCATGACAGCTAGCTGAGACAGAAGCCCAAGTTGTGTCCAAAATACTCTTTGTCATAGTGGGAGACCAGACTTAAATAAAGCCTCGCCTGTACCCAAGCCCTGTTGGGCCACTTGAGGCAGCTGGATGTAGTCAGCAGAGAACTGTGTGCAAAGTAGATCTCTGCTGGCATAAATCTGGTGAAGGTGGGTGCTCTGCGCCCTGCTCTAGACCATTTATTAATGAAGGCATCCAAGATGAAGGTAGTTTGTTGCCAAAAAGGGGCACAGTGGTAAAAACTGTGTTGACCTGCCTTTCTGCTGCAATAAGGTAGCGTCACTTTTCAGTCTGCACTGGGTCTGGCTGGCTGCAAATGGATGCCTGGTTTTGGCTGCTCCTTGTCATCGCATCTGCAAGGGGTACCTTTCCACTTGCTCCACCTAAACACAAGGAGTTCCTTGCATGTCTTTACTTTCTTCATTCTGTGGGGCACTTTAAAAAAAAAAAAGCTAACAATCTGTTAGACGTGCTGGGGAGGATTGCTAATGGATGACTACATCTGGGGACTGGAGGCTGATGGCAGAGAAACAGAGCAAGGGAGGAGCGTCTTGTATTGCTCAGCACAAAGGCTGCCGTGCTTTTTATCAGGGTCAGTGGCTTCATTTCTGGTTGCAATATATCATGGCAATCCTGGAGGATGTAAAGATGCTGGAACAAACTGAACTGAGAGACGTGGTAATGTCACGCTGGGGACTGTTACATGGTTGCTTCTGCACCTCACTGAATAAAGGGCTATTTTCTGGCCAGTCAAAGGTTAAAAGAAGGATATAGTCTGGGGCGTGAGTGTGTCTGCAGACACGCATGTTCATTCTGGTATCCAAAAATTGAAGAAAAATCCACTTTGGGGCAGTCTTGAAGACCTAAGTGCAATTGCCCTCCACAAAGGGCAATCCCCATGTGTTATTTGAAATAGCCTCTTCTATCAGCCTTGCCTCAGGCCTCTTAGATTCCAAGTCATCCCCTTTCTGGCCTCTCTGGGGAAAGCTGCTTTTCCCAAGTGTTTCTGGGCCTGGCAAGCAGCCCCCTCACCCCTGAGAAAGGCTCTGCCCTCTGCTAAAGGGAATCAGATGGGCAGCATCTTCACTCCTGGTATTTCCAGTGGTGAAGGAGGAGGCATTTTGGGAGATCACAGCTTGCACTGTCTGAGGGTGGGGTTCTGGCTCCTGAACCCCAAATGTCCCAGCTAGACATCTGACCCCCAGCTTGGCTGGGGAAGGAATAGCCTGTGGGGTTGCTGACCTAGCCCACGTCATGTCCAAGGGACCTTCCTGGCATCTGAATGAAGAGGAACACCAAATGTGGCCTCACGGCACTGAGATCCTCCAGAAGGCATTGCCCGTGAGGCTGGGCATTTCTCTGAAGCCACAGGAGTGTCTGGAAGCCTTCTCATGCTCATTAATCCCCCATCCCCTTGCCCAGCAGGCTGCGAAGCTCCCTGTTGAGATTTGGAAGAGAAGCAGAGTTCAGTCGTTTTGAGGAGTGGTTTCTTCTTGCCCATAGATGAAAAGACTCATGCCTTTCTCTTGCACACTGGAGAGGCTAGATAGCTCCCTGCAGCATTCATTGCCATCCACCGTGGCCATAGCTGCTTCAGCGAAGGCAGGTGGTGGCAGGAGGAGCCCAGGACAATTCTGTAAAGAGGTCTGAAGTCCTTTTTGGCAGCTGTACCCAAAGGGCAGCGATGGGAAGCGACATCTTTGCCATCAGGCTCCTCATGGGTGGAGTCCCATAGAGATCTGTTTTCTTCTTGCCCCATCCCATATTGATGTGCAGCCCATGGAGACCCCTCAGGCTCTGGCACCACTGGGGTATGTTGTGGTCCCTTGTTTGCAGTCCCAGCTTGTTCTCTGGAGGACGGAGCTAGGCAGTGGGGTTTGCATGCCCACCCCACTGGTGCTATCAGAGCCCCCCATTACGTTCCAGTCAAATTCAGTTGGAGGTGGCAGCATCGCTGCTGGTGGAGGCAAGAGCCTGTGAGGGGAGGAGCCAGCACAACGGGGCTTGTGCCTGTGCACAGA